ATGGAGACGGAGTGAGGCGTTATGTAAGTGGCAGGGATGATGGCGTGGACAGAGTAGTCAGAAGGGTGTTTGAGCGGCTGCAGTGAGACTAGGTGATGGAAGAGAGAATAACGTGGGGGGAGAACTGAAGCTTACTTCTAGTTCCCCGGTCTGGAAAGTGAGATCAAATAGTAAGTTTGACAAAAAGTGAGGGACTTGCAGAACATGACAGGGCATGGGATTTCCATTTTTCATATGTGTCATTTAGTGTGTTACCTTGCAGACATCTGTGCATAAAACCCACTAGAAAAAAACATTCTTTGTCTTTCTTTTATTCTAAAGAAAAGAAAATTCAACAATAAAAACAATGGTGTAAAATTTCAAAAGAAAATTGTAGGAGAGTAACAATGGGTAGTGTATTGGATATTGCTATCTTCAAAGTAGTTGCTCATATTACAAGGCAGAGGCATGAAAAATTGATCCAGCAACATAGACATAAACCTTTTCAATGGACTAAAGGCAAGTAGTGTCATGTGTGCATGTGTGTGTGTGTGTGTGTGTGTGTGTGTGTGTATGTGAGTGTTTCTTTCCCCTTCCTTCTTTTCTCCTTTCTTCCATTTCAGTTTCTCTTCCCTTTTGAGCATTTTCTTTCCATTTCACAGTATCTGTTGTACATTTTGAGTTTTGTTCACTCTTTCAGCTTCTTACAATGGGGAGACAATGTGATGTTTGCACATGTGAAACTGGTTTATTTCACTTATATGGACTCAAATTGTATCCATTTCCCTACAAAGTCTCAAGTTTATCCCTCTTTATAGCTGAGTAGGATTCCATTGTATAAAAACGCCACATGGAAGATGATTTTAAATCTCCACTGTAGAGGTTACTTAAGGTATGATAATTCCTTTGTCTTTAATTGTATTTTTAAGAGCTGTTAAAATTATGTACCCCAAGAAAATTGACTTTTCTTTCTCAATTTAAAATATACAAAATATACTTTAAAATGCTTTATATATCAATCTGCCATTTGGACACATTTTCATAGTTTTCCACCTTTTTTTTTTTTTTTTTTTTGAGCCAGGGATTGAACTCAGGCCCTTGCACTTGCCAGGCAAGCATTTATTCAACTGAGCTATCTCCTGGCCCAGTTTTTCACTCTTAAGTATAGAAAAACAACTGTGAAACATTATTTAAAAATAGATCATTTTTAGCTTTTTGATAGTACATGATTTTTCAGAATTATTTTACAGAAGTTTCCAATCATCTTTGCAAGCAGAAAGATCAATACTATGTTCCTGTTTTTCATATGAAAAAGCTGAGGTCAAAGGATGTTAATGATGCTTTCAAGCTGCTATGATATTGGGTAACACATTCTCTCCCTTCCTGAAAAACAAAGTAAGAAGAAAACCGTGAGCTCCTAGAGTGCCAGCAAAGATAGCTATAAAATACAGAAGTGGCAGGGCTGGGAGATAGCTCAGTAGAATAAGCACTTGCCTGGCAAGCACAGGGTCCTGAGTTCAATCCCTGGTACTGGAAAAAAAAAAACCACAGAAGTGGCAACCACTTAAAATACTGATTGAATTAAGTATTTCCGTTTGCTTCTGATTCATTTAGCTTTTGGAGTATTTGAATTTGTATTTGTTTTCAAGATTTTGTGTTAGGGAACGATACTAGATTTGTGGTCATTCTCTTCTGTCCTCCTGAATTCTGTCTTACATCTATTAGTGACCAGGCACCATGGTGAGGACAAAAATCTCTGATCTTATGTTTCTGTTGTTTTCTGCTTTATAAGTATAAAGTTAATCGACAAACTTCATAGACTTGTGAGGTTCAAGTGGGTCTTTATAAATAATAGAGCTTTAAAATGACATTATCACCAGCATCATTGTTGTCATTGTTAACTGGTTTTTCCATTATTATTGGACCAAAATAAAAAAAAAAATGACAAACCACATCTTGTCATTCTTAAATAACCTAATGAAAGGCACTCTAAGTTATTTGTATCATTAAAAGTGATAACCTTTCAGATTACTTATCATGATTATACAACTGACTTAACAAAGTCCAGTTACCCAGTATATATTATTTTTATCTTATATGATATTAACACAGAGGCTCTCACTGAATCAATTACTCTCCAGGGAGTAGCTTACACATGGAGAGAATCTGCTTGAATATGTTCTTAATTATAAAATGATCTAACTTTAAAGGAAATGAAAATAGAGGTAATTTACCTCCTGGGGTGGGAGAACATGTGTTTGAAAGGCACAGAGGTTATGCTATACAACTTTAGAAATACAAATGAGATAAAGAACATTCGATAGAGCATCTGCATATTTATGCATATTTATAGTTCTGGCTCAACATGTAATCCTGAAGAGCTATAAACACTTCAACAGCATTTTAAAAAGATGAAGTCACTTAAAATATGTGTGGCTCTGTATGGGAAGGGGACATAGGTTTGAAAACCTACTGACTACTTTATACTCATTTCAGCAGAGCTTTATTAGTAGTGAAGATAAATTTCGATTATCTAAGGTAGTAGTCCTTTTCCCTTTCTTGCACTTAAAAAATTAGCTGCTCTGAGCTACAGCTTTATAGTTCATACTCCGTATTTTATAAAGTGCATCTCCAGGACAGAGTATGCCAGACACTAATTAGGACAACAGAGCAGACTATTGCTTTAGTAGTTGTCATTTCTAAATGTCTTGCCATCACACCAGGCAGAGCCTCCTGTGGAATTGCCCCACAGTGACTATACCCCTGGCAGCACACTATATGTCACCACTTCAAGATGAATATCTTGGGAAGGTTTGGTGTGTTGGACCTCACCAGTGGTGACAACAAAGAGTGGTGGAGACTAAGGAGGGAATTTGACTTTTGTACTTTCTTCACTCTTGGATGTATTCACCCATAGCATTCTTTGACAGACATACTTTGATGAGTTGAGGTGTCTTTGAGGTGGTTTGAATCTGCCCAGTTTTCATTTTATCCATATCTTCTATGTTCCAGTTATACCCTCCTATTGCTAAGCCTTTGTGTAGACTATTGTTAAGATTTTACTTAGCAATTCAGTTGCTGCTTGTAGAAATAAGAATACCTAGATTTTCTCTTTTCTTGAAACAATATTCTCAGTTTCAGTGTCATGAAAGATTCAAAATAATGTAACATTGTCCCTATACTAAAGCAGTTTATTGAGTATAATTGATATAATATCCCAAGAGTAGGCAGGCAGATTGTATTCAACAATTACAGAGTAGTCAACGTCTCTACCCCTTTGGAGAGCGACGGCCTCACTCCCACTGCTCTCTGAAGTTTT